TGTGGCTGAAAAGAAGGATATTCTGTGGGTGAAATGGATACATAGTAGGTATATTAAAGGGGCAGATTTTTGGGGGTATATACCAAAACATGATGCATGCCACTACTGGAAGGATATGACTAGAGTTAGAGATACTTTCAATGGGATGCCGAGAGAGAAACCATACAGTACCAAGGATGGCTACAAATGGATTCAAGGAGAAAAAGAGAAACCAAACTGGTATGAATATGTATGGAACAAAAGCACCCCTCCTAAATTCAGATTTATTACCTGGTTGCTATTGAAAGGGAGGCTACAAACCAAAGCAAGGATGTGCAAATACTTAAAGATTGAGACTGAATGTGTGTTGTGTGGGGATGCTACTAAAACAGATGATCACCTCTTTTGGGAATGTGAAGCAGCACAAAGAATCCTCAATACCTGTCTCCCTATCTTTAACTTACAATGCAAAATGACTAAGCTACAGGATATGGAGGAGTATGGGCAGCGGCTCTCAACCAGAAGGAGAAAGACACAGTTATGGGCAGTGTGGGCTGGTTGCATATACAACATATGGAGAATGAGAAACAAAGTGATACACCAAAAAGCATGTTCTATAGAGGAGGCTATAGAGTTTGTCAGATACTATATTAGTAACTATTTTTCGTATAGATGTACGGTGTGATTAGTTGAGAAACCTTTTGTATGTGGTTGGTTGAAAAAGTAATATGAAATGTGTGTTTTATGTGCAAAAAAAAAAAAATTGAGAATAGTAAATTTATTCCTAAAGCTCCATATCCTCATAGGCTCCTAGCTCCAAAAGATAACAGTAAAACAGGAGATATATTAGAAATGTTTAAACAAGTGCAAATAAATATTCCATTTTTAGATGCTATTAAACAAGTACCTGCCTATGCAAAGTTTTTGAAGGATTTAGTAACAACAAAGAGGAAAACAAATGTTCCAAAGAAAGCCTTCCTGACTGAACAATTGAGCTCAGTTATTCAAAATAAATATCCTATAAAATTAAAAGATCCTGGATCTCCTACAATTTCTTGCAAAATAGGTGAGCATCACATTAATAGAGCTTTAATAGATTTGGGTGCAAGTGTTAATTTATTGCCTTATCATGTTTATTTGCAACTGGGTTTAGGGGAGCTTAAATCTACTAGGATGACACTTCAATTCGCAGATAGATCTGTAAAACTTCCTAAGGGAATAATTGAGGATGTTTTGATAAAAGTAGAGAATTTTTATTTTCCTGATGATTTTGTTGTTCTTGAAACTGAGCCCTCGCAGGATTCTTCCACACAAACACAAATTATCTTAGGCCGTCAATTCCTTGCTACAGCCAATGCCTTAGTCAATTGTAGGAATGGTGTTATGAAACTTTCTTTTGGTAATATGACTGTGGAATTGAATATTTTTCATGTGACTAAGCAAATGCATGATGATAATGATGATGTATGTGAATTAAATGTGCTAGACAGTCTTATTAATGATACTTTTCATTACTCGAGTAGTGATGATCCACTAGAAGCATGTTTAGTTAATTTTGGAACTGATTTTGACATGGATGATTCAATTGCTGAGATAAATCACTTGCTTGATTCTACACCTATTTTGAATGAAAATAAGTGGAAGCCTAAACCTTGTGGTACCTCCTAAATTAGAATTGAAACCACTGCCTAATACTCTTAAGTATGTTTTCTTAGGAGATAATGATACATTGCCTGTTGTGATAGCTTCTGATCTAAATAAATCTCAAGAATCACGATTAGTGAGTGTGTTGAAGAAACATATAGAAGCTATAGGTTGGTCAATTGCTGATATTAAGGGTATTAGTCCTTCGGTCGTCTTACATAGAATTCATTTAGAGGAAAATGCCAAACCAACACGTGAGCCACAAAGAAGATTGAATCCTACTATGCAAGAGGTAGTTAGGAGTGAGGTGATAAAATTATTGGATGCTGGAATTGTTTATCCTATTTCCGATAGTAATTGGGTAAGTCCTGTCCAAGTTGTACCTAAGAAATCAGGAATAACTGTAGTAAAAATGAGAACGACGAGTTAGTTCTAACTAGAGTTCAAACAGGATGGAGAATGTGTATTGATTATCGTAAGTTAAATTCTGCAACTAGGAAAGATCACTTCCCTCTCCCTTTTATTGATCAAATGTTGGAAAAATTAGCTGGTCATGAATATTATTGTTTTCTTGATGGTTATTCTGGCTATTTTCAAATCCCCATTGCCCCCGAGGATCAAGAAAAAACTACATTCACATGCCCGTTTGGTAAGTTTGCATACCGCCGTTTACCTTTTGGGTTATGCAATGCTCCTGGTGCTTTTCAAAGATGTATGGTGAGTATTTTTTCTGATATGATAGGTGAATTCCTTGAGGTATTTATGGATGATTTTTCTGTCTTTGGCTCTTCTTTTGATAGATGTTTAGAAAATTTATCTTTTGTTTTAGAAAGATGCAAAGAAAAAAGTCTTGTTTTAAATTGGGAAAAATGCCATTTTATGGTTAAAAGAGGAATTGTTCTTGGTCATGTTATCTCTAAAGATGGAAGTGAGGTAGATAAAGCAAAAGTTGATTTAATTTCTAATCTTCCTCCTTCAAAGAATGTCAAGGGAATTAGATCATTTTTGGGCCATGCAGGTTTTTACAGGAGATTTATAAAAGATCTTAGTAAAATTTCTAGACCCTTATGTAATCTTTTAGGTAAGGATGTTCCTTTTATATTTGATGATGCATGTCTACAAGCTTTCAATACATTAAAAAAGGAGTTAACATCCGCTCCTATTATTCAACCACCAGATTGGTCTATACCTTTTGAGATTATGTGTGATGCTTCTGACTATGCTATTGGAGCTGTTTTAGGCCAAAGAATTAATAAGTTACCTCATGTAATTTATTATGCTAGTAGAACACTCAATGATGCACAATTGAATTATTCCACTACTGAGAAAGAGATGTTAGCTGTTGTATTTGCTTTGGAAAAATTTAGGTCATACAT